CCTACGACAGTGTACATGACACCTGGCCCCTACGACAGTGTACATGACACCTGGCCCCTACGACAGTGTACATGACACCTGGCACCTACGACAGTTTACATGACACCTGCCCCCTACGACAGTGTATATGACACCTGGCAACTACGACAGTGTAAATGACACCTGGCCCCTACACATTTCTCATTAAAGCTCTTGACTTCTATGAACTTTGCAAGGACAAGTGTTGAATGGCAAACATTTTGAACCCTAACGCTTATATCAAAAATAATAACACTCGTAAATTTGAAAATATTTTAGAACAAATTGTCGTGAAGCTAACAGCTACATGTACCTATGGATTGGATACCTGCTGCCATTGTGTAAAGCTAACAGCTACATGTACCTATGGATTGGATACCTGCTGTCATTGTGTAAAGCTAACAGATACATGTACCTATGGATTGGATACCTGCTGTCATTGTGTGAGGGATCTATTTACGTCTGTACAATGACATACATCACTGTTCACACTTCAGTTTCTCTGAAAGATAAGTAACACAGATAAAAGAAGGTGAATAATACAATCAATTACCTTAATTGGATTGTTTTCATGTCTTCGGCCCGGTCCTATACAATACTGATTAACTTACGGATGAGTAGGACATGCGTAGACGTATGTTGATTCCGGTTTCTAAGCATAACAACACTATTAAACTTGACCGGAATAGGCAATGTATTAAGGCATTATCATCCTTAGAAATAACTCTTGGATATTCGCTAACATAGCTGCAGCAAAACATCCTGAAATGTTTTCCTATGGTGTGATTGTAATATCATTTTTATCATTTTCGCCAATATAAATACATGTAATATGGAATAACATATTTTGCTGTATAGTATTTCACACAATGTTACTTATTTTATTTAGCAAAACATATTATAAAGAATATATTCGAAATATTATGAAAAAGAATTGAACACATTTTTCTTGCATACCACTCAGGTATTGCATTTTATATCACACATATTGAAAAAAACATCTGAACTACATATCAAATAGCATAGCATTCACGTAATACATTATCACATTACGTCTACATCACTCGGAGAATATTGTAAATAAGTATTGTTTTTGTTCATTTCATTGGTTGATGAACTGAGTTGATCTGAAGACAAATTCGATGAACTTTTAAATGAACTGCGAAGAGGTTCATGTAGAAATTGCCTCAGGAACTCGTCATCCTTGAAAACGATCGTATATATATATATATATATACAGCAATATATATACATTTTATATTTTAATTAAACCTGTTTGACGATATCAGGCCATTCTGTATAAAACATATCTGTTATACGAAAACAAAGTACTATACCTGTTCTAAACCCACTGAACCTTTTCTTATGTTGCGGCGGATTAACAATGTCTATACGGTGTGAAATAAGTCTCCAATTCATACGCATAGGCAATGTTCATCCGGTCACAAATTACACAGACAACAATTAGTAGTTTCTAGAAGTGCGGCTTGAGTAGAAATGTAAATATAAGGTGATGATTATAATAAATAAAGAGTAATGTAAATGTAGCAAACATTGAATAATACCTTCTCCCTTCGTTGGTTTCAAAGTTATCAAAAAGACATTACTGAATCATATACACATTTTTAGTGTTTAGCTAATTATGATACAAGACATAAAACCCAAAGTACATATGATAGCATCAACCCAAAGTACATATGATAGCATCAACCCAAAGTACATATGATAGCATCAACACAAAATACATATGATAGCATCAACACAAAGTACATATGATAGCATCAACACAAAGTGCATATGATAGCATCAACACAAAGTACATATGATAGCATCAACCCAAAATACATAGGATAGCATCAACCCAAAATACATATGATGACATCAACACAAAATACATAGGATAGCATCAACACAAAGTGCATATGATAGCATCAACACAAAGTACATATGATAGCATCAACACAAAATACATATGATAGCATCAACACAAAGTACATATGATAGCATCAACACAAAATACATATGATAGCATCAACACAAAGTACATAGGATAGCATCAACACAAAATGCATATGTGGCATCAACACAAAGTACAAATGATAGCATCAATACAAAGTACATATGATAGCATCAACACAAAATACATATGGTAGCATCAACACAAAATACATATGATAGCATCAACACAAAGAACATATGATAGCATCAACACAAAATACATATGATAGCATCAACACAACACAAAATACATATGATAGCATCAACCCAAAATAAATATGATATCAACAACACAACATACATATGATAGCATCAACCCAAAATACATTTGATAACATCAACCCAAAATACATAGGATAGCATCAACACAAAATACATATGATAGCATCAACACAAAATACATAGGATAGCATCAACACAAAGTACATATGATAGCATCAACACAAAATACATATGATAACATCAACACAAAATACATAGGATAACATCAACCCAAAGTACATAGGATAGCATCAACACAAAGTACATATGATAGCATCAACCCAAAGCACATATGATAGCATCAACACAAAGTGACATGTGATAGCATCAACACAAAGTACA